ATGCTATTCTTTAATATTGAGAACGATTTTTAGAACTATATCGCTATCGTTATCTTTATAGATATCATGCTTGGTGTGAACGGGCCTTTACAGTCTGTGAGTCAGAACAGCCGGCATTGTAATCTACTCTACCAGGATCAGGAAACAGTCCTCCATAAAATGCGCTGCACACGTCTGAATATTTGGGTTGAACTGTTCTGGAACAGTGTTGTAAATACAACTTAACCACTGATTTCTAGTCGTGTTCTCTTTTGGAAGACCAAACAAAGTAGTTTGGCTTTCACATCGAAGCACACAGCGCTTTCACGACATGGCGGCAGCAACAACAACACTACAGCGAGAATAAAAGTTACGCCTTCTTTCTTTGCGTAAACATTTGGGCAGCTAATCTTCCCACATCGTGACGAGCCATTTTAGGTAGGCGTGGTTGACTCTTAACTTTTATAAAGAATATCTCTTTGGATTTGAGACTTTAGTCTTTGCAGCTTATTTATGCACCAAGAGCTTGTAACACTCCAAAGAGAAAGGAAAAATTTAAATCGCATCATATGCCCCCTTTAAGTGCTGTGTAAATACCATTGTGCTTGAAAATGGTCATTTTCAGTATCATAGTATTGTCCTCTAATACTGTCCCACGGTACAGGCACAGACTTGTTTGGCTCTTTAAAATGAAGTTTCAGAGTGAACAAGACAAAAATGTTAGACAGGAGTCAGGACCTGATTTTATTTATCTGGAAATGATTGGATTGTGAAAACGTGTCCCTTTTTCAGTGGTTTTCAGCTGGTGGGTTGCTAGTCTGTTCTGGAAATTGATGCTATAAGCAAATAATAAATGAAACTAATCACATATAGTTTGGTTGACAGAGTAAACAGACAGGCTTATCTTTTACGATGGAGCAGGAAACGCTTCCTTCATTTTGTGTTGATGAAGTCCATTAGTCCAGTCAAACTCTCCAGTATTCTAGCACACATTTATCTCACTTTGTAATATGGCTAATAATATAACATTTA